AAGCGCACGCAGATTATACAGCAACGCAGATATAACTTGCCAAATGAGTGCCTGCCATGTGGGCGGGTTAAACTTTGCCGCAGTGACTATGCAAAGCTGTGGGCAACGCAAGGCTTAACAATTAAAAAATCCGTAAATACCATCTGAAAACACTGGAATGCGGTACGTATCACCGGCTCGCTGAAATGATGAAATATGTAAACAGATTTCTTTGAAAATGATACTAAACAGGACACGCAATTTTACCCATGGTGTTCATTTACACTCCGATGTGGCTCAGGCAGAGCAGCGAGTATTATACCAACAGAATTGATGTAGTAGTGTATCTCTTTTTGTAAATAACCCTTCACAATACCATTCCCCACAATACTTGCTACGATTGAGGGCGCGATTGGCAAACTGAGTAGCTAAACGCATGTAACATACAGGGCATGTGCTGGCGCATTGGGGAATTCATTGAAGAAACAGGCGGTGCTGAAAATGCGCGTTTGTTTAAATTTTTTAATTGAATGCAAAAAGTACGTACTTACATACATATATGCCACTGCACTGACATTCTCCGTTTCCCAAATCATTTTGGAAAGTAAACAAAGGAAAAGTGTACTTGTGCTAGGCCGCATAAAATGATGGTCGTAGTCATTTGACATCGTCCAGTTACGATATTCTTCTTCAACTGCCTTTTAAGCAACTGCTTTTTCTCCAAATGATGACTATTTTGCACGAAAAATGCATTTAAAGCAGGTGGAAAGCAAGCTAGCAAGGGCAATGCTCACGAATATGGCTTATTTTGCATTATAATACTAAGTAGAGCATGTGGGAAGAAAGAGCAAGACTTAAAAATTTTTTAAAGGTACTTTAAAAAGTAAAAACTCACCGAGTCTAGTCATGTGCAAAGAAAATCCCAACGTTAGTATCAACACACGATTCAGATTATCACTTTCGCTCGATGCCACAGAAACAGGTAGTTGTTCGCTGAAATAACGAGATATTTGTGGTTGCATTACTAAGTCCAGTGATTAGCGGGCTTTCACCACAAATTCAATTGCGAAACGGTCGCACAGTGTAAAGTAGCTGACCGCGATGCTGGGCTGGTTGTGATGTAAACGATATAGGAACATTTCACGCAGTATATGTAGTATTGATGCTTGAAAACAGCGAGCAGCAATTGCTGAATGAAACAATTGTAAAAAGATGGTTTGTTTTAGGGCTGTGCGATTATTCGATTACTCGAGCAAGTTGGTTTATCAGTTGTTCGGTTAATCAATTACTCCCAGTAATCAATATTTTGATTAGATAGATAATGATTAATACGATATAAATTAAGATAGATCAATTAATCGCACAGCTCTAGTTTGCTTCTTCCGAATAGCTTACGCAAGAATCCTCTTAATGCCCACCGGTTCGATTTTGGTGTGAACGAGCAACCGTACATAGCTTTCTACTAAAGCCGGCGCAGGTATGGAACTTTTTGATTGAGGCTGTAAAAACAAATAAAATGAATTTAGCTGCTTGGTTCCAAACAAAAAATTTGACCTGCATTACCTGTGGATCAGCGACATTTTACTGTGCACAGTTAAACTATCCAAAACAGCCATAAAGAACGGCGGTTGCCCCACAGCTGCAGTTTTATCGTTGCCATTTAACGCCTCGCTAAGTATATTCATTGATTCTGGAAAGTACTACACATTGATTTGTTAAAAATGCATTACATATATGTATAATGCGTAAATTGTTGCCCATGCTTATGGACATCATTGTTTTGTGAAGAGCAAGATGCTGAAGAAAGCTGTTGACAAATAAAGGAGTTAGTTGACGTGCACTGAACAAGTCTAGAAAATTATTGCAGTCGTTCATTTTAAATGCAAAATAAAGTAAAATAAAACATTGTTTTTTATACTTAAATGAAGTTCATATAATTTGCTGTAAATGCACTTACTTGCGTCCCTCGGCTGATGGCTGGCCTACCATCGAGACGATCGTTGATGGCATATATATTTAGTAAAGTGAATATTTAAAAAAAATTTGCTATAATTCGTTGTTGGACACGTTTTCCTATTGAAGAAGGTGCTTCGGAATTGTTATCAGTGCTTAGTGTTTCGGCATCATAAACAACCCTATCGTCGAAATCGGTTGTTTGATCGCACAAACGAAGATTATGTAATGTTGCGCACGCGTTGACTACTCGGCCAGCAAAACCGGGGTCATACAAAAGAACTCTTTGCTGTGATAAGCACCGCTATGTACCTTTAAGGACGCCAAAGAGTCTCTCGATCGGGTTACGCGCTTTACATAGTGCCTCGTTGTACCGAAACTTTGGCGTTCCTTCTGGCTCGTTAGATAGAGGTGTCATCAGCCATGGCTCCTACGGATATCCAGAATCGCCTGTAATTATTTTCTTTTAATATTCTAATTCATATGGAATTAAAATAGCTTACCAATCAAAAATGTGTTGTGATTTCCATTTTCAAACGACCGCTGCATGACCCGACGCGCTGCAGAAAAGCTCCAAATAAATGAATCATGCCGTGCTCCCGGAAATTTTGCATTTACGTTTAAAATTTTAAGATTTGGGTCACATATCTATAAGTTTTAACAATCATAAAATAACAATATAAATGTACCAGATTTGTTCTTACCATTTGCACGTTGATCGAATGGTACCCATGGTGATTGACTTAATTTGATTCGTTATTTTTGGGAGCCAAAATAGAGACATGAGTGCAGTCGATTGCACCGATAGTTCCTGCTACAAATGGTGGAGGTGCAGACGCAAAAATTTCCTTTGCGGCTTGGCACTCCAGTTGCGTCATAGGGAACTTCACTTTAGTGGTAAACATTGAATTGTTGATCGCGTCAGTCACACGGTGTATGCAACAGCTTATCGATGTTTGGCTCATGGAAATGCCCCACTGTTCTCCTACTGGGCGTTGATGGCATCCAGTGACACAAAACCTTAGAGCCGCTAGAACCTTTAAAGAGTACATAAACGCATGCTTATATAAGATGCTTTCTAGCGGTAGTACGAATTAAACGTTTTACAGGAAAAGCTGTTCCACGTACCATAAGGCTTATAAAAGGTAAAAACAGATATTTCAGTAAACCCTGCAGTTCGTACTACCGCTGGAACGCAGTTAAAATATTCAATAAAGTTGAGGAATATTGGTTTACCTACTTTTCGGTCGATAGCACTGTTATTCGTGATCCTCGTAACTGGTTATCAAGTTGCGACACCACATTTTCAGCCATGCCGGGACTAAGTCTATATAGCCTCCGGAACTCCCTTGGCGTTAGTTCGAATGGGTTGTCGATTTCGCGAAGCCTACGCCGGTCAATTCTTATCATTATCATTATCATATAAATATGATGCAATGTATGCAAACGCCATTTTTTAACACAATTTTATAAATTTCTTCAATTTAATTTCAAAGCAAAATTTGCAAACAACAGCTTAACAACGAAAAACTAGATCCTGTTAGCTTAACCACAAAAAATATTGTCACCAAACAGCTGACTGCGTTTGTTAACACTAAACAATAACAAATATGGTTAAAGGTGATACACAATCACTTAACCCCAAAAAAAGTTGTTAACTAGAGATAACAACGTGAAATGTGGTTAAAATTAGATTCAGAATCGCATTACTGGTAAGTCATGTTATTTTTCAGGTAGGTTTTGCCGAGGGAAGTAAGAATCGAGATACGCAATTTTTGTCACATACCCACACAATCTTGATTTACTGTTAAAAAAAACCGGTTTTCCGCACTTATAAGCCTGTAACTCAGTTGACTATATACCGATTTTAGACCTTTCGAATGATATATGTATATAAACTTTTAGAAAACTTAAGAGATCTGTGTGTATTTTCTGTGTTCATTTTTTTCGTCTTTTTTCAAATTTGGCAAAGTTTTCACGCACTATTTTATTACGCAACTATACTACTCCTGAATTGATGCAAAATTAACATTTAATATATAGTGATTTTTACTTTCAAAAATCGGGGGAAAGTTATTCAACCTTTCATAAGAAAAAGAAAAGTAAGATTTCTCCTTGTAGTCAACGCAATATTCTGAAATAATTTGTCATGAAAATTTGAATATCGCATTTAATTTTTAGCCGACTTTGTAAAAATAAACATCAGTTTTACTCGATATTAAATATACTTTTCTCTTAAATTTTGTAAACGTTTATAGATATAAACATAGACCCATCATTCGAAAGAACTCGGTTGAGAAGCAACTCATTTAACTCATTAACAAGCTTATAAGGGCACAAAAGTGTGTGTAGCTATCACCAAATGGTAACGCGTGTCGCATCGCGTATCGTATCGCTCTAATGTGCACTGCGCGCATTTCATATGGCATCGGGTATCGTATCGCGTATCGTATCGCATATCGCATAGCATATCGTATCGCTATAATGTGCACCGTGCCTAAGCCATTGTGATTACAAATTTTAAGGGTTACTTCGGTTAACTTTTGTACTTTCTATGAGTATAAATGCCTGCCTACATATAACTTACTCGTAGACTTGGTGTTCGCCACGCTCGTCAAAATATCGAATTTGTCAGCATTCAACTTTTCAATAAGAAACGTAGTTTAATCTTTTTTTAATTGTAAAAATAAATAATTTATTTATTTTAGTATAAATAAAGAAAATATTAAAAAATGGTGGCTGTCGTGCAAGTGTTAGAGAATTTAAGCGCACCTAAAGTTTTGTAGCGGTACATGGCCCAATAAGCAAGTGAATTAATAAGGCAGCTCTCTCGCACTATGTTCTGCCATTCGGCTATAGTATGCACAATTTTCAAATAAGATATTGTCAAATCAGTATAACAGGGCAGTTCTGACGACTGTCTTTCAACTCACCACAGTCTTTCGAAAGACAAAAGTCTTTCGTAAGACAATTGTCAACTATCTTGAAAGCTCGTTACTGTCTTTTGAAAGACCATTTGAAAGATCTGCTAACGAGGAGGACTTAGCGTTATGCCGTTCGCCTTTTAGCAATAAGTTTTTAAAAAATGAAATCAAATAAAAAAATATATACGTTTTTCTTTTTAAAAGAACTGTAACTAATAAGTAAAAGAAAACTATATTAACAAATTATTAAATAAATGTTATGGAACGAGGTAAATTAAAAATGTTTGCATGCAGTTTCAACCGGACTATGAAAAAAATCAAGAAGTTGTTAGCAAAGAAATATTGATGCACAAACTTTTGTTTGATTGTAACGTCAAAGATTGCTTCTTAAATGTAGAATTTGCACTAAGAATGTACCTTTCTCTCATAATCACCAACAGTTCAACAGAAAGGTTATTTCTAAACTGAAGCTGATAAAAAACCGATTTCGGACGTCCATGACGGAAAACAAGCTGAATTTTTTGGCTTTACTGATAATCGAAAATTAAGTTTTGAGGCAAATCAACCCCGATGTTGTTATCAACGATTTCATTATTACAATGAGTGGATATAGATGGAAACCAATAAGAATAAATTAGTTATTTTATTTGTATTTTCTAGCATTAATTGTCAACTATTCTGAATTTATGGGAGTAAATTCACATAAATTAACATACATATGTATGTATTAGGGATTTAAATTTTTTTCGATATTTTCCGGAATTTTTTTGATCTCGTTATTACAATTCCAAGATTAGTCTCGGGATCTAGATATTCATTATTTTTCATCAACTTAATATGAAAAAATTGCATCAATACTGTTTGGGAAGCCCTCCTACTAAACAAAAAATAATAAATAAATGGGTTTGAAACCTATGTTTTTATTTAAAGTGAAAGTTATTTCATTAGTAACAAAACAAAAGACAGTTATTAAATATATATGCATTTAAAATACTTTAGCGTGTTCATATCTGATAAAGAAACTTAACTCTTTCTTAACTCTTTCGCGACTACTGGGAGACCATGTACCAGCTACATTCAAAAACATTTATCCGTTTTATTATTCATTAAAACTTCTATCTAATTTGTCCGAATACATGTTCTGAGTTTTATTCATGATAAAAATCCGCCCGCAAAACATATTTTCTCTGTTATATCTGGTACCACTGGTCAAGTTTGCGAGCACATACCTAAAAATTTCGGCGATCTTGCCGGACAAAAGGTGTCAAAAAGAATGTTTTTCAATAGCCATTTTGTTTGTACGTAGGTATTCTCAAATTCCACTTGCTCTTTATTAAATACGGCTTTAAAATGTCAGTAAAGGTGAGTTTCATATAAATTTCATAATTTTGGGATATATTGTCCCAGTTTGTGTTTTACGTGGGACTGATTTGTACCAATTCGTGTTTGCCCAGATGTCGAAGAAAAGATACCCGGCGGAAGAAAAATTCAGTGCAATGTAGAATAAAAATATGGGTACCCAATGAAAGAGAATTTTCTGCAAAATTAAAAAAGTTATGGTTACAATCACAAATATGTAGGTATTGAAAATGCCCCTTTAATCAATTTTATTTTTTAAGCTAATAAAGTTGAAAGGACGGGGGCATTTTCAATAGCTACCCGTCCTTATGCACCAATATATTTGATCTGTTTTAATTCTACAGAACTTTCTCTTTAATTTGATACCCATACTGGTTTTTAAATACATTGAACTGAATTTTTTAAATATGGGAGGTTCCATGGGAAAGTGAACCTCAGTGTAAAAATTATTTTCTTTATAAAACTAACAAACGTGTGGATAAGTCATTTGTAAAAATCTTGAATCAACCAAAAAATTACAAATTAAAGCTTTAAATGCATTTTTATTACCTTTTTTACGTGTTGAAATCAAGTTCTAAGTAAATTTTTTGAGTGAGTTTTAAGTAGGTTGTGTTGAAAGTACTGTCAAATAATATGCGATTCATAATTCAAGTGTTTGGTAAGAAAAATATATAGCAGAACTCATCTGCTTTTAATAAAATTGTGTTGTATATTAAACTGTTTGACTGCTTTATCTATATTATGAGTTATTATTAAGCAGTATTGGTCTTGTCCCAACCGTGACAAAAAAGCTAAAAGTGGTTATATTTAATTAGCCCTTAAAGGGTAACGTTATTTTGCATACTTTAAAGGTAACCTTCGTCGAATCGTCGAGCGGACTCGTCCATTATCTATATACCCTTGTGGTCAGCTGATTAAGTTAANGCTAAAAGTGGTTATATTTAATTAGCCCTTAAAGGGTAACGTTATTTTGCATACTTTAAAGGTAACCTTCGTCGAATCGTCGAGCGGACTCGTCCATTATCTATATACCCTTGTGGTCAGCTGATTAAGTTAAGTTACATTTTGACCAGTTTTGGTTTTTTATTTTGTTAATCTAAAGTTTATAGTTTTTTTATAAAAGTCTAGTACATTACCTAACCAGAACCACATAAATCTAAACTTCGTACAAAGATTAAAAAAATTCAAAAAACTTAAGCAATTACACCCAAAAATTTTAAACTTTTTGTTCAGAATTTTTAGGTATATATATAAAAGGCACCATCCTAAGATAAAACGTGAGTGAATTTAACCCCTACTTGGCTTCTTATATTTTTTACTAACTAATCTTTATATATGGACCACACTAAAAGCTCCTTTTCATATAAAAATTTGTACGTGTCCTACCCGTGAAAAACGTTGTCCCAGCCGTTACAGAGGAATTTCGGATTTTTTGTATAATAAAGCCATAATTTTTTTGTAGTTTTTGCTTTGTTTGTGTTCATGTTTCTTTGTTTTATTGTAAGACATCAAGTTCACAGAGAAAAGTGAAATAAATTCGCAGAGTTTCCATAAAATACATCTGCTCCAAAAAGCATCTGTTTTTGACCTACTCATATTTTTTTAAATTCCAAAGTCCTTTTTAAAAAATCCTGACGTCAGAGAGAAAAACTGAATATGCGATTTTACTATATTTGGCCCATGGTTTCGCGAATATATTAATTTTTGTGTGTGTAAAATTGCCTGTCGATCGGTATTATGTGATCCCGGGATACCAGGATTAACATCCCTAGTAAGAACATATGTAAAAAATTAAAACTTTTTTTTTGTTCCGTACCCGGGGCCGCCGTTGGCCTTAGTACTCACTCCCTGGAGTCCGCACCACGGAAAGAGCCTAGGGATCCTAATCAGGCACTGAAACCTCATTGATTTAGCGTATTTGGTGATTTATCGAGCTTTTTATAGCGCACAATTTCAAGATTTTCTGGCATATTTTTGCCAGCCCTTGTTATCAATACCGTGCTTATGGCGAAATCGGTATGCAGCAGTGCTGTGTAATGATTGAATCAATTGAGTGTGCATTCTCATTTTATTCGTTTCAAAATTGTGATTGTTTGATTTAAAAAATTTAACAACCACTCTTGAGATTGGTTTACAAATTGTAAACACAAAATATGTAGTCAGGGCTATCACAGGATCCATCGTAGCTTCGATTTTCGTAAAATCTACGAAAGTGCTATCACAGAATCCGAATAGCTACGAACGTAAAATCGAAATTCGTAGAGAGCCTTCATTGATTCCGTTCGTAATGAAGATTCGTACAGATACTCTACGACAAGTTTACGCTGTCGGAGCAAAGAATAAAATCACTGAATCTTAAAAATAATGAAAAAGGTGCTGTGAGAAATTAGTATGATTCTTATTGTGTTAAGTATGTCCAATCATTTGTTATTTTTACTCAGTCAGTCCTTTGTAATAGTCATTCAGTCTGTCGTTTGTAATAGTCATTCAGTCGGTCTTGTAATAGCTTAAGTTTTGGATTTGCTAAATAAATTTACAACCCTGTGTTCTACTTTCGCTTTGCTCTGTTTCGCGATCCCGCTAATTGAATTGCCATATAAATTCGGGCAACGGCACAAATTGTCATCCATCACGCGAGCAAACCGAGGGTAGAACACTGGAAAATAAACTTGCGCAAGTGCGCATGTTAAACCAAAATCTCGGTGTCGTGATAGGCTTTATTTTCCATTTTACTTGTTCTTCGCCGAAGTATACACGCTAATTTGCCGCCATTTCGTCAACGAGTGTGCTAGTTTGCCGCCATTTAGCCATTCGCTATTTCACAAGAAAGCGACTGCCGACTTTGTGCCAATTTTAACTGGCAGTATTTAAAGCGAGGGATCACATTTGTCATAGCACTCAAATTTGTCGTTTGATCATCAAATTATAAGGACTTTGGAATGGAGCGTTCGCCTGTACGCCGGAGTAAGCGCAATCAGCCAGAAGGCCTAGTGGCTGCCATTCAATCGTCAGGCAGCTTAGCGAAGATCGCCGCCACGTCCGCTAAAGCTGCCGAACACCCTAGCGCTCCACCGCCCAGTGCCATGAAACTTAGTGGGCCGGGCACTCAGCCGTCCAGTGCTCTGCCAACCAATGCCTCGACATTCAGCGCCCCGCAGTCTAGCGCTCCGCCGTCTAGTGCTTCGGCATTCAGCACCTCGCAGTCTAGCGCTTCGTCATTCGTCACTCCGCATTCTAGCGCTCCGCCGTCTACTGGTTCCACATTCATCGCCCCGGAGTCTAGCGCTCCGCCGCCGAGTGCCATAAAACTTAGTGGGCCGGGCACTCCGCCGTCCAGCACTCCGCCAATTAATGCCTCAGCATTTAGCGTCTCGCCAGCTAACGCCCTGCCATCCAGCGTTATGCCACCTCCTGCGCCAGCGTATAGCGCTCCATTGACTGGCGCTTCGCGACACAGAGATCCGCAACATAGCATTCAGCAGTTCAACGTGCCATCATACACAGCGAAGCCATCTAGCGCTCTACCAGCCAGCGGTCTGCAAGCAAGTATATTCGACCAGACTCACCAGGTAAGCGATTTTACATCAAATCCTATACATGTCAATGCCAACCCGAACGCTGCCGCCTCAGTCGGCGTCTCTGCTAGCGTCAACCTCGCCACTAGCGAATTCGCCCCTGTAATTGCCACAACGATGGCGCCAACTGCCCTTGTAAATGCCACAACAACGATGCCTACTGCCACTGTAAATGCTTTAGCCCCGTCACAGATGGACATTCTTTATATAATGCAGCAACAAATAAGCATGTTAGAACTACAACTTAAGTTTGCTCAGGCCCAAATATCTGAAGGCGAACGCCAGCGTATTGCAACAGTACCACCACATTCGACGCCGCCTGTAGCCTCGGCTACCCAGCCGACGTATATTTATGCCCATGCAAATGGTAGTATATCAGCTTTACCACATGCGCCTATTACTACAAATAGGAGCTCTGTTGACCCTCTCAACGGGCAGCCAGCCACCTCTGTGCAACATAGTTGCCACGCGATAGCAGCCGATAGGCAGCCAGCCTCCCATAACCCTATCGACCCTCTTAATGGGCAGCCAGCCACCTCAGTGCAATGTAGTCGTCACCTCATTGCGACAAACACGCAGCCAACGCCTCAAACTATTTTTGAACCGGGGTCGTCTGACGAAATAGCGCAATAGGGGTCAATCCATCATTAGTTAACACTGCGTCCTTTCCACGAAAGATAATCGAACTGCCATAGTTTTCGGGGCAGCCAGAAGACTGGCCAGTATTTTATGCGTCATTTGTGGAATAAACTGCGGTTTATAATTATACTAACTTTGGGAACAATCAAAGATTAAACAAATGTTTAAAGGGCGAGGCAAGAGATACGGTCAAATCTTTGCTAATTCACCCTAATAATGTATCCGCGGTAATTGACCAACTGCGTTTTCGGTTCGGTCGCCCAGAACAGCCCATACGTAGTCAACTTAAGGTAGTCCGCGATATGCCATGTATTTCTGAAGCTGCCATCCACAAATTAGTCTCGATTGCAACAATCGCTAAAAAACTCACCGTGTTTCTTCAATCTATCGGTGAAGAAAAACATTTAGTAAATCCGACATTACTAGAAGAACTAATAGCTAAGCTGCCCCTTAGCAAACGTTTAGACTGGGCGAGGTATTCGGTATCGATTCGACCGTATCCCACAATTATCAACTTTAGCGAGTGGCTGTCAGAGGTTGCGAGTTTTGTTCAGATGGTCCAAGACCACGAAGGTCGAGAACCAAAACGCCGCGCAGTGCTACATGCAGCTGGAGAACAACGCCCATTGAAATGTATGATCTGTCAAGGGGACCACCGAGTTGCAGAGTGTCCTCGCCTGCTCGAGGCCAACGTATCGGATCGGTGGAAGATAGCCAAACGTTTACGTCTGTGTTTTAGCTGCCTATCGCCTGGACATGCCACTCGTGATTGCCGCCGCCGTAAAGCATGTCCAGTAAGTGGATGCCAAAGACATCACAATCATTTGTTACATGATGATGATGTCAGTCGCTCCGGACATGATTCAGGCAATTTATTGTTTCGAGTGGTTCCTGTCACACTGTACGGTTCAAATAAGCGCGTGAATACGTATGCTCTTTTAGATTAAGGGTCTACGATTACGATGATGGACGATTCACTAGTACAGGAGCTTGGGCTCAAATGTCAGCAACGTCAAGTGGAGATTCAGTGGTTCGGGGGAAAAGCGGCAAAGGAAAAGGTAGCGGTCGCAAACCTTTTTATCAGTGGTCTGGGTATGAAGAAGCGTCACATGCTTCGCAACGTTCATGGTGTAGCCAACTTAAATTTACCGATGCAAAGCCTCAGCCAGGGGGATATCTGCAATGCCGTCAGATATGAAAATAAATTACCAGTACAGCCATATGAAAATGTATCGCCTAAATCGGTCTAGACCACTGCCACCTTGGGTTACCAACTAAACCGATATTAGCCAATCACGATGGGCCGTTCGCCACGATAACCGAGTTGGGTGTTTGTGTTTTTGGGCCATCAAGCCGCTTGCCGTTAAGGAAGCCCTCCTGTCTTCACGTCAACACTTCAGAGCATCAGATGCATGACCTAATAAAGGACTACTTCACCGTGGAGTCCTTTGGTGTGCGAGCTGTGCCGCCCATTGAGAGTGTAGCCGACATACGTGCTAAGAAGCTGCTCGATTCAACTACAGTGAAGGTGAATGGTCGATTTCAAACCGGGTTACTGTGGAAGACCGACAACATCGAGCTACCGGAGAGCTACTCCATGGCTTTGAAACGTCTTGTGGGCATCGAAAGAAAAATCGCACGTAATAAGGAGTTTGGTAAAGCATACCGTGAAATCATCAACAATTATGTCAGTAAAGGGTATGCGCGTAAGCTGCAATCATCCGAGGTAGCCGAAGTGGGTTCTAGGACATGGTATCTTCCACATTTTGCCGTGATAAATCCGCATAAGCCAGGAAAGTTGAGGCTCGTGTTTGACGCTGCAGCAACTTCACACGGAGTGTCGCTGAATTCTCAGCTACTGAAGGGGCCACAGCAATATCGTCCATTGGTATCCGTGTTATTCCACTTCCGAGAAGGCGCCGTAGCCGTTTGTGCTGACATACAGGAGATGTTCCACCAAGTTGTCATTCGTCCTGAAGATAGATGTGCCCAGAGGTTTTTGTGGCGCAACGGTGATATCCAGCAGACTCCTGACGTGTATGAAATGACGGCGATGATGTTTGGTGCAGCATGTTCCCCTTGTTCAGCACATTATGTGAAGGTGAAAAATGCGATGGAACACAGCAACCACGATCCACGAGCAATCCAAGCCATAACCGACTATCACTATGTGGATGATTACGTTGATAGTTTCCGTTCCGCTTCCAGAGCTATGGAGATATCCAAACAGGTTCGCGACATTCACAAAGACGCTGGTTTCCAGCTTCGGAAGTTTAGGTCGAACTCCTTGGAGGTCGCGACTGCATTGGGTGGTGAAAACACAGCGTTGTCTATTATGTCGAAAGAAGCCATGGAATCTGGAAAGGTTTTAGGAATGTTGTGGCAGCCGTCAAGCGACCACTTCACGTACCGTCTGGAGTTCCATGGAGTCGATTCATCAGTCATTAGTGGCGATTTAGTGCCCACAAAAAGAATGCTACTGAGTATCGTTATGTCCATCTTCGATCCGTTGGGATTCCTGTGCCACCTCACCATCACAGCGAAATTGGTTATGCGCGAGATCTGGAAGCGAGATTTAGGCTGGGACGAGCACGTTCCTAATGAAATCAACGACATGTGGAATAATTTTCGGATGCAGTTGCTAAACGTTGTAGAGTGTAAAGTGCCGCGTCACTATTTCAAGCTGGGACAGCCAAAAAATCTACAATTGCATATTTTTGTCGATGCCAGTGAAGACGCATTCGGAGCTGTAGCATTCTGGAGGGCAGAGTACCCAGACAACGCGGTGCAAGTGTGTATTGTTTATGCCAGAACAAGAAGTGCACCACTCAAGATGCTAACCATTCCCAGATTGGAGTTGCAAGCTGCCGTGCTAGGGTCCCGTATGATGACGACTATAATTGAAGAGCACACAATGTCTATCGATCGATGCGTCCTTTGGAGCGACTCGAGAACGGTTCTCAAGTGGATAGCCAGTGAACATCGTCGCTATAAGCCCTTCGTAGCCCATAGGATTGCCGAAATCCTGAGCGTGTCCACGCAGTCTGATTGGAGATGGGTGCCAACAAAAGAAAATGTGGCTGACGAAGCAACACGGGTGAAAAGGGGCGTTAACCTCAACCCATCCTCACGCTGGTTCACGGGTCCAGCATTTTTATGTCAGCCGGAACACATATGGCCAACAGACGATACACCTGCTGCGAACATTGACGAAAACGAAGAGCTTCGGCCGAAGTATGCTTTATTAATTGCTCAGAGCAGCATATTTGACTTTGAGAGGTTTTCATCGTTTCTTAAACTAAAGAGAGTTGTTGCCTGGGTCCTTCGTTACATCCACTACAGCAAATCAAGACCGAGCCAGCCTGACACTTCGTCAAAATATGGGTTAATGACCTCCGAACTTGATGCCGCCGAACGTATAATATGTCGCCATTCGCAACGAGAAATATTCGTGAATGAGGTCATTCGATTGGAGAAGGGGCTCAGCTTGCCGAGTGAAAGTCCACTCTACAAACTTTCGCCGTGGATAGATAACGAGGGACTTCTTCGGGTACATGGGCGATTGGATGCTGTCAGCTGGCTAGCTTATGACACGAAGCATCCTATTATTTTGCCGTCTCACCACGTCGTATCGAGGCTCATAGTCGCGCAAGAGCACAAGCGAATGATGCACCAAAATACAGAGGCGACTATTTGCATGATTCGTCAGAGGTACTGGATCCCAAACTTGAGGAAGGTCGTTCGTGGGGTCATCGCCAATTGCAATACATGCAAACTAAAGAAGGCAAAGCCAGTTACACCAATGATGGGGCTACTTCCAGAAGATCGCGTTACGCCATACGTGAGGCCATTCACATACACTGGATTAGACTATTTTGGCCCTGTGAATGTGACGGTTGGCCGAAGAACTGAGAAGCGATGGGTGGCATTGTTTACGTGTTTGACAGTACGAGCTATTCATCTCGAGGTGGCTTATGACCTGTCAACGGACTCATGCATATTGGCGATACGGAACTTTATGAACCGAAGAGGGGTGCCAAGAAGAATCAGATCGGATAATGGCAAGAATTTCATTGGCATAGCTGGCGAGGTTAGGCGTTTTTCAGATGTGTTCGACTGTCGCGCGTTGCAGGGTGAGTTGACATCGAAAGGCGTCGAATGGGTCTTCAATTGCCCCGAAAATCCTTCTGAAGGCGGCGCTTGGGAGCGTATGGTACAGTGTGTAAAAAAGGTCCTGTGCCATACTATGAAAGAGGTGAGTCCCAAAGAGCACACGTTTAATAGTCTGCTGGTGGAGGCCGAAAACGTAGTAAATTCACGTCCGCTCACACATTTGCCGGTAACAGCAGAGCAAGAGGAACCTCTGACGCCAAACCACTTCCTACTGGGTAGCGCAAATACTGCGCAAACTCCAAGTTGCGATGAATCCGATCAGAAGCTGTGTTCCCTACGTAAGCAGTGGCGAGTAGCTAGGCAGATGCGAGATCGCTTCTGGAAGAGGTGGGTAGAAGAATACTTACCAACGCTAACTCGTCGTACGAAGTGGTGTTCGCCAACGAAGCGGCTGCAAGAAGGAGACCTCGTTTTCATTTGTGACATGAAAATTCCTAGAAAGGAGTGGCGTCGAGGACGAGTAGAAAGAGTGTATCCTGGAAAGGATGGTCAAGTTCGTCGAGCAGACGTGTTAACCTCGTCCGGAACGGTCCAGCGCCCGGCGTCCAAACTGGCCAAACTGGATGTAGTCTGTGGTGAATCGGGGTCGATTCACGGGGGCGGGGATGTGAGAAATTAGTATGATTCTTATTGTGTTAAGTATGTCCAATCATTTGTTATTTTTACTCAGTCAGTCCTTTGTAATAGTCATTCAGTCTGTCGTTTGTAATAGTCATTCAGTCGGTCTTGTAATAGCTTAAGTTTTGGATTTGCTAAATAAATTTACAACCCTGTGTTCTACTTTCGCTTTGCTCTGTTTCGCGATCCCGCTAATTGAATTGCCATATAAATTCGGGCAACGGCACAAATTGTCATCCATCACGCGAGCAAACCGAGGGTAGAACACTGGAAAATAAACTTGCGCAAGTGCGCATGTTAAACCAAAATCTCGGTGTCGTGATAGGTGCATTATTGTTAATAATAAATATTTATTATAATCCAAATTTGTTTTAGTTTGATGTAATTTCATATATTTTTGTAAGCGTAGACTTAAAATACCAATGCCATACATATATATATATATATGTATTAGAGGGCTGCATGAATGCATTCAAAGCGGCTTATGAATTATTCATATACAAAACGAATGACTGATTTTGGCTTCAAATTTTTTGAATTTGAGTGAATAGCTGTTCTGATATTTGTGTCGACATCACAATATTCAAACAAAGTGAAAATAAATTGAATTGAAATAAATGACAATTTTGTGTATGAATATCCAAAAATATTTTTTCTATGCACATATGTACAAACATGCAATGTATGCATGTATGTATTGCTGCGCTCCTATTACATACGAAAAAACTTGTTTGTAGAAAAAAACTTTTACCGAAATGAGTTTGAATGATTTGAATGTTTTCCATTCATTCATTCACATTCTTCCATTTGAAGGTAGAAAATATAAAACAAAATGTATATTCATAACTTACAAAATTCCAAACGCTGAGTGTTTTGTATGTGAAGTAAAATATTCAAATCTACTGTACTCTGGTTGTCTAGAAGTTTGAATGAATTCATGCAGCCCTCTAATATATATGTACATACATACATTCATCTGCTAGACGCTATTTAATTAATGAATATTTTTTATGAAGCGAGGAAATTCTAATAGTTTAACAACAATTTATTAGGAAAGAAACCTTATTACTTTAATATCATTAAAATTAATATATATATATATATTTTTTTTTCTCTTTAAAAGAATAAAATCCAAACTAGAAAACCAAATTTATTAAAAAAAAATAAACAAAAGTTAAATAAAAGAAGAAAAAACAGCTCCGCTGCCCGACGACTCGGACTCGAACCCGGATCTCTCAACTAGCAGTCTAGTGCTTTGCCCACTCGGCCATTGTGACTTCTGGGGCAGCGTGAGCAAAATGGCATACGTAAATGTCTATTATTTCTTTTGCACTAGCTAATTTCGTATCAGCATTCGAAGCTGGCAACGATATTTTCGAGTTCACTCGGATTCAGTGATAGCAATTTTTTCGTATTCGTAGCAGGCATTCGGATTCGTAGATTTTCCACGATGGATTCCGTGATAGCCCTGAGTGTGTTATGGAATGGTTGACACCCATTCACATAGAGAATGTGAATGCAAAAAAACTCAATCATGTATGATTGTACGTTTATGTGAATGCAATCTGTCATTATCATTCAGTACTAATACTATTTGTTGTTGTTGTTAAAATGTGAAACCAGAAGATTGCCATCTCCCTTAAAATAAGTAAACAAATAAATATTTGGTGCTAAAATATTTTTCTAAGTGGTTGGCCGAGCTTCTGCTCAAACTTGAGGCATGAATTCTGTTGTTGTGGCACAAATGGAGACACCTATGTACATATTTAAGGCTGACTCCGAACACCAAATTATTTTATAAGAAGAGTTTTCAAGGCAGAAATATACTCGAAGGTTTGCCATTGCGTGCCGAAGGACGATTGCTATTTGGGGTTATGATCTGACCAGGTATTTAACCATGGTCCTATGGAGTGGAAGTACGCACATGTAATCACTCTGCTACGGCGGCCGCCGTAAGTACATGCTATACATATGTATGTACACATATTCGGTTAATTGTTCTCAAAACGCATAAAAACGATAGTATGCTGGCAAACAAATAATAACATTTTGTGATAAACAGTTTTACAAATGTATTTGCACTTCAAATTTGAGTATTAATAAAGTATTAGTATAAATTATTATTATAAATTATTATCTTAATAAATAAATATAAAAATATTTATATTTGGCAACTCTTGGACTTTTCTTCATTCGTAACGAATGACACATGTAAACAAAATAAAACATAATTGTAATTTTACAAATTTAAAGCAAACGGGCGTTCTTTACAAAAAAATGTAGTTAGGTATCGAATTGCGCATATTTTACAATATCAAGTGCCCCCAAGAAGTGTTAAACCACTAAATAGCTTAAAAAACGCTTTCAAAAATTCGAAACGAGAGTGAAGTGCAGTGTTCCATTGTGATCGAAATTGCAGGCAAAATTTGTGCGTGTGTAATTAATGTTTTATTTGAAGAAATATTGCCCCTTGCCGTAAAAAATTAGCAAACCAAAGACCCGCCCTTCCCACATAATACTTGAATAACCCCTTAATTAACATTTGCTTGTTTTGTGCACGCACGGCCAGTTAAACGGGCATGTCTGAATCAATTTCCTTCATCATTCTTAGGAATTTGATCTGCATTTTTATTGCTATCTGTTGCAAATAGACATTTTAGGAACTAAATAGATTCTAAAATCTCTGTACACAAGCGCACTTATTTTTAACAGTTTCCAGTTTATGTAATATTAATATTATGTAAAACAGCTTTTATTTATTTTATGTTATATGTGATTTCAGGAAGCGTCGAATACAAAAAAGTGCTGTGACTGGGTTTATGTAATTTAAAATTGTGTTGCTGATTTCTAATAATAATAGAAAGGCGCTTACGCATCGATGGCCCTCTGCAATAACGACACAACTCAAAATTTCATATATTTCAGTAGAAAAAATCAAAGAATTTTTGTTTCGTAATTTAGCAATAATATGTCTTGGAACGTAATAATTCCGGATTATTTGCAGTCATATTGTAAGCATTCAAATTATGTCTTTTTCTAAAGATTCAGTAAGTGTTGGACTGCAAAAATACGAAATAAGTAACAATTCGTATGTAGTTAAACGAAAAAAATTCCATTGTGTTGTGTGTGCTGAACAACGGCACAAAATGAAAAGTGTCGTTATTTCACAGTTTGTGACTTATGCCAATATTCACAATTAATGTTAGACATTTGCCATTGTTCAGTAGTAAGGGTTGGCTACTTCGGTTTATGAGGTGGGTTTTGTTGAAGGCTGAGGTATGCTCAGCCGACCCAGGGTACAATGGAGGTCCCACTAACCCCCACCAAATAAAACACAATAGTTAGTGTAATACGGAGAACACACTCACACACACGAGGTGAGATATGGCCAGAGCGCCGGCAACCTTTCGTCCAAGAAGTGAGAGAGAGGGAGAGTAACAGCGGCTATGGGTCGGTAACGGTGAGAATAACAACGGCTACGGGTCGGTAGCGTTGAGAATAACAACGGCTATAGATCGGTAACGGTGAGAGTGACAGCACTCGGTGACGACGGTGAGAGTGACAGCACTCGCTGACGACGGTGAGCGCAACGGCAATGCGAACGGCGGTGATACTCGGGGACGACGGTGATGCCGGTGAGAGTAGCGGCAATAAGAGCGACGGTGATACTCTACGGCGACGGTGATAGCGGTCCTGGCCTGCGGCGAGTGGCAGCAATGGCCCCAATAACGATGACGGTGAGGTAGTAATGGCCCAGCTGGTGACGACTTACGGTGATAGTGGCGGCGGCCTGCAATGAGGAGACTGATTAGTGGGCCCTAAGCACACACCTGTGTCGCCCCTCGTACAAGTTGCACACTAACGATGTAGGTGCGGAACGGTTTGCGGCACGAGTGAGTGCGATCTTCCACGGCGGCTTTGGGACCTGTACGAGGGGAGTACATCGTTGCAAATAGCAACGACAACGTCTACAAAGTATGACGATGCATCTACACTCTGCGACGACCCCTCCTATAGTCCCCTCGGCCATGTGACGTTCTGCGTAGGCGATCGGATTGCGCTCATCTGCCAAAAGACGACGTACGCGCTCCCTTACCTACGGAGACTGATAGCGGATGAGCACTTGTAGAGAACCTTATACCCGTCGTCGCACAAGTCGGTTGCGAAGTAAGACGAGCTGAAAAAGTTTTACAAGTTTTTACGCAAGTGCCCAACGAACTTCCCACGTGTGTTTGGGCGCATGCCTGCTTATGTTTTGCTTCTTGCGTATTCTATTTTTAGCGCATGCTGGTATGTGTGTGTATGTGCGCTGTGAATATTCTACCCATATGTATGTACATTGTATGTACATAACTGGTGTATGTGGGTAAGCATATCGTATGTTCATACATATTTACAACGTAGGATAGATTTGTGGTAGGTCGTGGTTGCAAATATTGTAGCGTAGTGAATGCTACGTTACAGGTTTTATGCCAAATGGCAAAACTTTGCCTCTGCCGGATTGGTAACAACAAAGCCTATGTCGATTTGCCACAGAAGAATATGGTTATTTATAAACCCAATCCACTATATATCTCACAAACCTGAGTTGTTCCGTTATTACAAAGGACCATCGACATATGTAAGTGTTTGACCGAGCTATTCCTCCGATTGTGGCATGCGCCTTGATGTTGGCGCACAAAGTTTTACGCCGACTGCTGCCAGGGGCCGACCACTATTACAAAAAACTTTTTTCTTTTTTGATGTAGGCCGGAACTGGGCTCGAACCCTCACCCTGCGGAATGGTAGTGCGCACTTCTAACCACTACACCACAGCGAATGCTTAATTAATTTTAATCATTAATCGCGATTAACCATTTATTTGTTAATTTTTAATCATTCATAGACCAACATTTTGCCGACAATACTCGCATGAGATAGTCCCAAATTTTCACAAAAGAGAAAAGTGATTTTCTTCAAAACTTTTGAATGACATCTTGACTGAACTTACTAATTCGGAATTTCTACTATTACTTATAGAGTAGGCTATTCATATAGTCTGGGTTATAAATAACAATTTTTCTATTATAAGTTCCATAAATATTAGGAGACTTTTATGGTTTAATTTATTTTTTGCACATAAACTTGTATCTTGAACTTCTTTTTCCAAAAAGTGAGGTTGTCAAAATTTTAATAGATGTCGGATGTACGGAAATTTTCTAAAAAGATCTCTTAATAGATTAGGTCATGAAAATTATTCCAAACAAAAACTTAAAATTGATAAAAAAAATCTTAACTTAATTTAACTAATTTATATTAGAGGTTTTAAGTTTATCCCACTGTAAGTGTGAAATTAGTTGCTATGTGTTTCCATGATACAAAAAACCAATTGACAAGGTTGTAAAATTTCATGCTACCATACGCAGTATCTAAAATCCTTCAAATTTTATTATTAATTTTTTGTTTGCTTAAAAACATTTTATTCTTAGAATCGAAATTTTACCAAGCAAAATGTCTTTTTTTTAATAAATGAGGCTATTGCTCAATAAATTGATAATTGTTGTTCTCATTTGCACACTTCACACCAACTCAAATATTGAACAATGAAATATATTTTAACAACGATATAGTTTAATGGTCAAACACATATGAAGGATTCACAAGAGGTGTTAAGCGTCGTAATGTGTTAAAGTCTTACAACTTTTAAACGTAAAATAACGCCTAATGCCTCTTAAGGCCTTTTGTAACATAACCAAAATGTTATTTAGTTGGAAATATATTATTGGCTCTTATTATACCCAACGAATCTTTCAAATCGCTTTCAACCGTTACTTTATATTGAACAATTTTGAGCCTTTAAGACATTACGACGTCTAACACGAATTGTGAATCCCCTAAATATGCATTAAATTACACATCAAAATTTGTAATTTCAGTGTTCAAATTATATCAGAAACAATCGCACCCGATATTGAGAGCTGTAATAGTCCTGGCTAGTTACATTGCGAAATAATCAGATGGCATAAAGACACTAAATATTTTTAAAATATCTTCACAAAAATTTGATTAACCTAAATGTAAGTTTTTTGCTGTCGAATTTAATGTAAAATTTAAACATTTTTAATATAAGATATGAACTATTTTTAAAAGGTAAATGTTAATACAATTGTTTTATATATAATCCTAAATTTATGATACCAAAAATTTATGATACCAAAAAACTTAAATTTGGTAACACCGCTTCGAATTTTTACAATTGAGCAATTGTCAAAAATCTGCCTTTTTATCAAAAGGTTGTTTACCAGGGTGTCTTTGAACTAATGATTGGTACTGAATTAAAGAATGCACACACATAAAAGATTGCAGCCTTTTCAATACTCATTCAGTATTAAACCTTTTTTGATTTGGCTTTGGTTTTTTCAATCTTGCGATGAATATGTTCATGTGTGAATTCATAACTGCTTTGAGTGAATGGAAAATTAAAAAAATGATAATCCTCAATCTTAAGCGAAGAATAAGTAATTAAAATTGAATAGAAAAAAATTGTTGATTTAAAATTGAAAACGATTTCACACTTACACAGCTCTGGTATGCAGTTATATAGCAAAGGGGGCGTGGCACCTTCCATAAAAACTGAAATTCTTATATTGCTTATCTCAAGAATCGCTTATGCTAACATCCTGAAATTCAACACATCTACATTGTTATCAATACAGTATTTATGGCGAAAAGTGATAGTTATTGGAAAAGGGGGTGTGGGGCATCAATATAGATATATGTAAATGGGCAAGCATCATTCTGTTTATTTATGGGAAAATGTTGATACGCTAAAATAGAGGGACTACACGTTCTAATGAGGAATTCGAAGATATCGAGTGGGATGCATATAATAAATTATTTCATATGAAAAGTTATGGGGAGATACTGTAAACATACTGTTGTGATACTGTTAAGCATATGAAATTATAGCAAGTTGAATTTTCATACATCTTCCCATAAAAAGTTTAACAGATGCAGAGATACCAAGGGGGGTTTTCCCATTTTGATGCCTTTTTAATATAAAAACCCACCGAAAAGGAGGAAAGCGGCAACTCCACCATTCACATACATGTCAAAAGTATGAATTTTAAAAATTAAAAACAATAAACAAACAAATTCAAAACAAAGAAATTCTTTGTACTAGAACTTTTTAAATTGAAGCCACTCACGTTTAGTGGACAATAAAAATACGAAGAACTATGATAACAAACTTACAACAAGACATTACAGAACATTTTAATGAGCTTTATATCACGTTTAAGTAAAAATAAGCCTATATTTTCCAAGCTGGCAAAGAAATGAAAATTTGTATTTTTTGTTGTTTACACAAAGACTTGCCAAATATACATATAAGTCAAAATTATAGAAGGCATGTATACTTCTCCCTTTCATTTTTTCATACAGTTTATGCTTCTTTCTGGCTTTTACAAAAATGCAGGGATACCGCACTTATTTCGGTACAATATGATCGTAATGTATTTTCAATTCGAAATCAAACAAAAACATCCCACGAAAATGTTTGCGATTTTAGAACCATTAGTGAATATTTGCAAACTACTGCAAATAATAGAGTGCCATATCTTACAAAGTTCAGAGTATTAACGAAACAAACAAGCATTTTATGGCTTCATGTTTCCTTCAAACCGCATTGCTATTTTTTCTAACTTTTCCTTTTGTTTAGCGCTGTAACCTATTAAGTTATATCTTTTAATTTATACATGTGAACTATTTTCAATGAGCATTTTTTCATTTGCTCCAGAATTTTGGGTACATTTTCTTATAGTACCTCTCATTCTTTTTTATATTACATATATACACTCCGAAGTTCGGGATAGTATTTTGAATATACCAGCAATATATGTAAAAGTAGTGGCGGCTGCTGTAGAGCATTACGCAGAGCCTGAGTTCAAGCCCAGTTTTTCTAATAGTG